TTTCCCGTGAGAGAACCTCATTAATCAAACAGGACAGGCGCTGCCTCCACCCCGCTCTTCTGTTTTCCCTGCCACGCCGCATATCTGTTTTCCCTGCCACCCCGCACATCTGTTTTCCCTGCCACCCAGCACATCTATTTTCACGGAAGTTCTGCTGCAGTACCAAGGTCAGCCACCAGGAGGCCCAGATTTGATCTTGACCTTTGGCTTCCTAAGACCTACCAGCATACCAAATATCATCACAATCCATAAAGGCGTTCTGAAGTTATGCTGACTACAAATGTGCGGAAACACACACACACACACACACACACACATACACACACAAAAACACACACACACACACAGTCGCGCCAAAAACATTTCTTTTTTTATTTTCCATTTTTCATGGAGGTAATTATACTGCACTCCTGTCCTCTTGCAGACCGAACGAAGGCTGATATTCTCCAGGAGGCCCGCGTGCCGCTGATAGAAAACTGTGCCAAGGAGACGTCCTACTCGGAGAGCCAGATTACGGAGAATATGCTGTGTGCTGGCTACGTCAACGGCGGGGTGGACTCATGCCAGGTACAAAAACTCATCACTGTTTCTGGCGACGTCTCAGGGAGGAGCCTATTGGTACAGTATCGTGTGCAGTTTGCAAGAATTCTAGGAATGCTACAGGCATTTTGTCCACAGGAATGGAATGTCTACAGGCATTTCTCTGACCCACATGTATTTACTTATCTTATGGACAAATGGGTGGTCCCTTGAGCCATTGAGGCTGATTTCCAAGGGAGCCCATAGGATAAATAAAATAAGATAAAATGATTAAGGGTTAATGACCCGCCCCGAGGTGAATATGGTGTGATAAAGCCTTGGCAGTTGCTATAACCACCGAATAAAGCCATCGAGTGAGCGCATGCGAAAGAGGTGGCTTTATGAGGTGGCTTTATGAGGTGGTTATAGCAACTGACAAGGCTTTACACACCATATTCACCGAGAAAGGGCGGGCCATTAATGCTATTATCATATAGCCTATCAAAACTTACACAGTAGAGAGTAACACATTCCTGTATAACACATATATCTAAATTATATAACAAACCATTACAGTCACTCCTCTATCCTCCCGTCCGCTGGCCACTGTTCCTGTGCATCTTTCTCGATTCCAAGGACCTACATATTGAGTCTAAATTGGCCTCAATCAGTTCTTCTATGACAAATTCTGACACACCATTGTCTAAAATTGTATTCCCTTTAGTGTGATGATTTTACTTGTTCTATCAGAGTTCATTTGAGTTCACCGGAACTTCGGAAAAGAACCGTTATGGCCAAAAGAATAGAACAAGCTTCCAGTTGAGGTCATCTGAGGTCATTTGGATGTTTCAATACAGAAATGTACTTACTAGGGGGGTGGCGCAAAATATGTTTACTTTTCTTTCGCTCAAAATTCACATGTATTGACATGGTCTTTATTTCGTTATGTATTGATAAATAAATTGAGTGATGACAAGACGGTAAACATTTCTATTCAACAAGGAAACGTGCTACAAATGTCAGGAAAAAGAGTCAACTCCCCTGCAAATGGTTTGCTCCGGGCCGTGCTTTATTGTGCAACAAAGCACACTTGTGAGAATAAAACACACCGGGCAATACTTGTATCATTGTAACTGTGACATTATAGCGTCATAATCAATATGGAATGGGGGCTTCTGATTGGTCAACGCCACCTGGCTATATGATAATAATAATTAAACGTAACAAAGAAATTCGAAAATCTTCACTCACTGACTTACCAACCTGATGAAACTATTGATTGATTGGCTGACTGACTGCCGGACTTACTGATTGATTGATTGATTGACTGACTGACTGCCGGACTTACTGATTGATTGATTGATTGACTGACTGCCGGACTGACTGCTTGATTAATTGATTAATTGATTAATTGATTAATTGATTAATTGATTAATTGATTAATTGATTAATTGATTAATTGATTAATTGATTAATCGATTAATCGATTAATTGATTAATTGATTAATTGATTAATTGATTAATTGATTAATTGATTAATTGATTAATTGATTAATTGATTAATTGATTAATTTGCCGCCTTTCGGACGTACTGATTGATTGATTGATTGATTGATTGATTGATTGATTGACAGGGTGACTCTGGCGGCCCGTTGGTGTGCCAGGACGAGACGTCCGGTCGCTGGCACCTGGTGGGCATCACGTCGTGGGGGATCGGCTGCGCCAGAGACGGCTACCCCGGGGTGTACACCCGCGTCAGCGAATACATCGACTGGATAAGGTTCCGGGTCGGATTTAAGATCTGACCAGGGCAACATAGCTTTAAACCTCTGCCACGGGAAAAAGTATTATGAAGAAAGAATTATGAATTAAGAATTACTAACTTTTAAGAACGTTTTCTGCAAGTATGCGGCACCAAAACCACGAAAAGAAAACACATATCCATAGCCAAGGTCCCGAGCAGACTTTCATTTCCGTTATAACCGTTTTAAGAATAGCGATGTTTCAAATAACGGTATTTTTCTTAATTGTTCCATTGTGACGCTGCTTGGAACCCGAGACTAAGCAATATAGCCTTAGAACACTGCATTTTTCACATGACTTTAAACCTCTGCCACGGT